CTCTTTCTCTCTCTTTTTTTTGTCTTTTAAAGACAGGGCCTCCCTGTAGTCCCACTCACTATGGAACTGGCCTGGAACTCACTATGTAGGTCATCGAGGTGGCCTCGAACTCACAGATATCCACCTGCCTCTGCCTACCGAGTACTGGGATTAAAGGCGTGGGCCACTACCCCCCCCCCACAAAATAGATCTTTTTTAAAAAGTGTTCTATTCTCTCCGCTGGCTAGATCTTAATATGCTGAAAGGTGCTATGGAGGCTGCAATAGAAGAAATGCCTTCAGTGGTCCTAAGCAGCACCAAACTCTACATGCTCCCATAATGCCTCACCAGAAAAATGAGCCTATCAGTGCAACATGGGCACCACTCTTATAGGGTAACTAACTCCTCTATGATTAAATTTGAGGCCTGCTCCACAGGAGGCAATTCCATACCCGGTACTGCAATCTTGGTCAAAAGCCTGGAGGTCTTAACCTTGGGGGTACACCCTGCTGTTGTTAATTTGTTAAACAGTCATGCTGATAAAATGCCTTTGACACATTTATGTATATATTCATAGACTGGACTGCTCTCAATCATCTGAAATCTTTAAAAATTTTTATTTTTTTTAGAATTTCATACAAGTGTATTATATTTATGGGTGCCATTAATGGCTGCTGAAAGAGTGAGAAGCAGTTTTCTTGCAGCCCTAAACATGTAACCATATGGGCACCATCTGCAGGTTCTATGATTTTATTTACACATAGAGCCTAAGCATTATGGGTGTTTTCAGGCAGGAAAAAAAATCAGTTTAAAAAATTCCATCATTTACCACTTTCTCTTAATTATAAATGGCCTAATTTGGTTTTCTTAGTAATCTTTGAAATTTCAGTTATTTACTTATCACAACAGAGAAGATAAATGTTTTTTTAAGTACAAGAATTTTTACACCTGAAACTATTTAAAATATGTTTTGTAGCTTTATTTCAACAATTTATTTAAGTGGCATCCTTATAATCAAATTATTGAATCAATTTC